AGGGAGAAAAGGAGAGTTTACTTTTGTGTGTCTTGCAGAGCCAGCACAACTAAGGAAGACTGAGCAGGAGTCTGTTCCACCTTGTGTATCAACAGAAATGTTGCCTAAAATTCAGCTATACAAAGGGGTTGCACGGGTGTAACCGAGGGCATGAGCTGATTTGCAGAATCTTCCTGACAGGTGATAATGTACAAAAAGGAAAGAGCCCATGTGGTCTGTTTGCAGGACCGACATCAGAAAAGCTGCCTTTTACTGTTGTGACCCAAACACACTGAGAGATGAAAGATGTGGGGAAATTGGAGAAGGTCCAGAGAAGAGCAACAAAAATGATTAAAGGTCTTGAAAACATGACCTATGAGGGAAGACTTAAAGAACTGGGCTTGTTTAGTTTAGAAAAGAGAAGACTGAGAGGGGACATGATAGCAGTTTTCAAGTGTCTAAAAGGAGGAAGGAGAAAATTTGTTCTCCTTGGCCTCTGATGATAGGACAAGAAGCAATGGACCTAAATTGCAGCAAGGAGGTTTAGGTTGGACATTAGGAAATTTTCCTGACTATCAGGGTGGTTAAACACTGGAATAAATTGTCTAGGGAGGTTGGAGCAGGTTGGATAGACATCTATTAGGGATGATCTAGATGGTGCTTGCACCTGTTGTGAGGGCAGGCGACTGGACTTGATGACCTCTCAAGATCCTAGTTCCAGTTCTAGTATTCTATGAATGGAGCTTCATTGTCACTTCTCAGAACAGACCCACACTCCAAGAGCCATATTACTGAATACAGTCATAGAGAGCCACAGAGCAGTGAGTGTGACCACCTGGCACACTTGTTTGCATTTTGGGACAATGCAGCAGTGAGAGCACAAATGTCCTTTTTTGTTTCTCCCACCTTCCACATTGCTGGTGGGCACCTGCCGTCTGGAACCAGTGGCTCCCATAGTGCACAGGCTGGCATGCATGCCAGGTAGCACTGGGAAATGCTCCTACAACTGGCATTCTGATCACATTCCTGCAGTCTATGCAAGCCCCAAGAAATGTCCCTTCTGGAGCAACACTGGCTGAATATCCCAGAGCTGTGGCAATAACCTCACCACTAAAGCACTGCTCATCTGCACAGGGAGGTGGGGGGTAGCTATCAGCCTTCATCCTGCAACCTCTGTTCACAGAAGATCTGACCTAAGCCCCTCCCTCTCACCTTGGCAGTTTAGCTTTGGTATATCGGTTATTTATTTTAAACAGCCTCTCTAGCTCTCAGCCCCGTCTGGCTGAGTTTAGTCATTTCCTCCAGCGAGTTCCTCCAATTGTTTGGCGAACATTGTCTGGTTCACTGAGCCACACTTCCTCTCAGGCTTGCTCACAGCTGGGAAAATCGCCTCCTGGTCATTTTTCCTTTGTTAACTGATGTATCCTGCAGTAATCCCAAGATCAGGCATCACAACGTTCGTGCTTCACATGTGCAGCAGCCAAGTGCTGCAGGTGCCTGGTCTGGGAGCAGGCTGCCGGACACAACAGAAGGGGGCCACTAAGTGACAAGAGTGACCAAGGATCAAAGAGCTAGATTGCACGGTCATTTTCTATTTGCTGAACTGGGGGGCAGGTACGGTGTCTCTGGATTTTAGTCCGAATTAAGGAGCCACTGTTAATCTAACAGGAGGCTGAAATCTACACCGTAGCCCCTGAACTCTCTTTAATATGTGCAATCGCTAGTGTGGGTCAGCAGAGTGTGGTGAGATCACAGCTTCTCCAGCAGTAGCATTGCCAGAAGGAGCCAATGGCTCCCTCTGGGTCTCACTCCTTTTCTGCAGGTGCTGGCATGGACATGTGCCTCCCCAGCAGGAGTGGAGAGTCTCTGAATAAGTGTCACACCCACCTCCATTTTTACAGTGTTCCACACCCTGAATAAAGAGCTGGTCCACTGTTGCCAGGGAGAGTGTCTGCATACAGCCCTATAGGCCTGCTATCAGAACTTTCCCCTACCCCCTGCCAAGGCAACCTTGTTCCCTGATCAATACTATATCATCCCCTCCTGGTTTGGGTACTGTCTCTCTCTCCCTGCATTCCCATGACAATTGCGCTCTGGGGCATGGGAGCTAAGCACCCTTTCCATTTGTACGTAAGAAAGGGAGCCAATAGCAGGGTGTTTTCATAAGGGGTCCTTGAGTCTGGGACTTCATTCCTTGGCCTGACAAACCCTGCGTTGGATGCCCCGCAGGAAATTTCTGAGTGAGACTATTCCTGGGGAGTAGGCTGGCTGGAGCGATTGTGGCAAATCGGTGGGTAACATAGTTTGGCTCAACAAGAGGTTGTGGGAAGATTTACCTTTCCAAGGGGTGAGAACTCATAGTCTAGGCCAAGAGGATGAAGCAGGTTTTGAGCCACCTGTGTGTCTTCCCAATCCTGCTTTGGGGGTTGGAGAGTCCTCAGCATAATATAAATAGCAGTTTTGATTTGGACAAGCCTCTGGCAGCCCACTCCCAAGCCAGCACAATGCTTGGGAGTAGTCCTTGAAAGGCACCTGGAAGGTTGTCTCCACAGTACTTGCCCCAGGGGAATCCTCTTATGGCTGGAACCAGAGGCCCCTTTTGTTCCAGCCCTTTTTCATGGTTACAGGATGTCACTTTGGTGGGAACCCTGCTCCATTAGGATTTCCCATTATTTTCCTGTCCACTCTGTAATGTGACCTGAACTCAAACTAAATGCCTTTTTGGCAATTCAAGCAACTAACTCTTCTCAAAGCATTTGTGGGAGGTTTAATCTGCCTAGCAGTGGGGTTTACTCTGCTGCTCTTGGGAGACTTCCACAATCCATAGTCTTCCCATTCAAAATCTTTTGCTGGTACACAGCTTATTTCTTTGCTCAGTTTCATCTCATAAAATCATGTTTATGCTACCTTCAGCCCAGCTTTCCCTGAGGAAATGAGTTTTTTCTAACCATCAGGTACTTATTACTGATCTAAACAAAGGGCTGGATTGGGATGTGGGGCCAGGTCTACACTAGAAAGATTTGTCAGCATAGCATAGCTATGTCTGTGAAGGGTGTGGAAAAAACAATACCACCAGCTGACCTAGCTTTGCTGGCAAACCTCTTTGCCAAGAAGCTAATGCCAACAGCTCAACTCCTGATGGTGTACATTACATCTACATTAAGGGGTCTCTGCCAGTAATGAATCATCAAATCACAGAACTGGAAGGAATCATGAGAGGTCATCAAGTCCAGTACCCTGCACCCATGGCAGGACCAAGCACCATCTCCCTATCAATGACAGATGTTTGTCTAACGTGCTCTAAAAATCTTCAGTGATAGAAACTTCACAAGCTCCTTAGGCAATATATTCCAGTGCTTAACCACCCCGACAGTTAGGAAATTTTTCTTAATGTTCAACCTAAAACGCTCTAGCTGCAATTTAAGCTCATTGCTGCTTCTCCTATCATCAGGAATTATGGAGAATAATTTTTCTCCTTCACCACCACCCCAGTAACCTTTTAGGTACTTGAAAGCTTTATCATATCCCCTCTTAGTTTCCTCTTTTCCAAACTAAACAATCCCAATTCTTTCAGTCTTCCCGCATAGGTCTTAGATATAAAAGCAATTCATTAGAACCATAGACGAAGTCTCAGTCCTTCCATTTTGATAAGATCAAATAGTGGCATCCTAAATATCTATCCTAAATTCTCAATCTGTTCACAAATTACCTGAATGGTGAAAAAATAAGGACTTTTTCTCTGCGTTTGAAGTCAGTACACACACCTCACCCTTTTAGAGTGGGCAGATAATGTAAGTGCCACGAAATAAAGTACATGTGCATACTCCAGTGCAATGTATGTTGCATCTGGGCAGCATATGTCACTTGGAAATGAATGCCCAGGTCTGACACATGTGTTACATACATGCTAGTGTTGCTCTGTTGGAAATGAGCCGTTACATGATAAGCAATAAAAGTACCTAAAATACACACTGCACATAGATCTAAATATGTGAGATATGCAAGGGGCCACAGAGAAATATTACAGACTTTATCCCTTTCATTCCATTCTTGTTTTTCCATAAAAAGTACATTGTTTTTCCGAGCACAAAACCAGTGTGTGACTAACAGTAGTAACCAGCATCCCTTAGCCAAGTTTGAGTTAAGTGAACCGGCTTCATTTGCCATCCTAGCTAATAATATTTTTCATCTTCGAATTTGATTGAAATCATTAATCCTCTGTGAGGTAGGTAAGCATGATTATCTTCATTTTACAGATGGGGACACCGAGACAGGTTCAGTGACTTCAGTACAACAGAGGGAGCGGTATAAAGTAAGATTAACACTCAGGAGTTCCTAATTTGCTGGCCTGTGTGGGTCCCTTGACTTTACCTCTGCCTAGCAAAGAGTCACCTAGCAAAGAACTGCCTCTACATTACATTCAGCTAGTTTGCAAGGGTGTTCTTGCTCTTTATACACCAAGGCAAATTAAGATTTACTTGGTTCTGGGTGCAAAGAACATCAGCTTTATACACCAAGGCAAATTAAGATTTACTTGGTTCTGGGTGCAAAGAACATTTGGGCTCCTTGCACAGCAGGAGTCCAGGGGGGCCACTGGAACCATAACCTCCCACTTTTTGACACAGGAATAGAAGCTTTTGGCAGCTGTGGAGCAGTGGCGGCAGGGGCTGTGCTTTGCAGCGAGAAGCCAATAAGGTGATCAGCTCCACCACTGTGAAGAACAACACTTGTTAGCAGTGCCAACCTCTTCCCAGGGCAGACGGGAGGTCCAGGACGCCCCACATAGGCCTAGGCTTCCTGGGCAGCTCTAACCTTCGCCCAGCTCTGACTTCTGGCCTTACCCATATTATCACTATGGTACCCAAGAGCCCCAAGAATCTTCCTTTGCTGTCACTAGTAGGCCTTTTATACTTTGTAAGCTAGCCACTAGAGGGCAGTGGTGCATGTGCCCACTAGCTGGTGTCCTACAATAGTCACATCTCTGCCTTTCTTCAGGAGTATGGTTGTTTGATTGACTGGGGACATGTTAAATTTGAGCCAAAACTAGGGTAACCCTGACTTCTGAGTGTCTGTTGGCAGCAACGTCACTAACCTGTCTAACATCGGAGGAAAGGAAAGACATTGTGTGGTGAAACATGTCTCACCTCAGTAGGAGGAAATCAAACACGAGCGCGTCAAAGCTGTTGGGGGACTCCAGAGATGGTGGATTCAAGCTGTATTGAAGGAAAGCAGTGCTGCTGGGTAAAACAATCACATTGCTGCAGTGTTTTACAAGATGAAGCTCAACATCCCTGTGTGTGTCTGTGGCCAGGCTTTGTGGAGGGAAATGAGGTTAATCGGGTTCTCTGCTTTGCGTTTGAGTTTGAGTAGAGAAGAGGAAGTCGGCCCTTGAAATTTGCTTCTGGTGTTCCAGCTTGAGACAGGTCCCCAAGACACTGTACAAAGAGGATTTCCTTCTGCTGGCAGGTAGAAGAGGTGACAGACACTCCATTGTGAAGGCTTTTTTCAAAGAATGACTGGCAAAGGAATTAGACATGAGAAGTCAGGTAAGTGAGAGCCTCATAGTTCCCAGAACCCACCCTCCTGCCTCAGAGGGCAGAGGGAGACTCCCCTCAACTCAGATTCGTGCCCGGGTTGTCTTTCCCCAGCTACAGTTTAGTGCCTGTGTCTAAAGGGCATTTTTAGCTCAGATTGTATCTCATTCGGCACCTCCTGTGTGTTTATTGAATACAATGAGAGTTGAAGACCCTCATCACCTCACAGGGCTTAAGTTTGAGGGAGGAGTGGGAAAGTCTCCCTGTTAATTCTGAAGCTCACTTCGGTACACAAGAGAGGAGCCCAGGAACCTGATTTCCTCTCACCAATATCATAACCCTACCCATTAGAAAAACAAAAAACCAAGAGTACATAGGCTGTAAAGAAAGAAAAGCAAGCAGCAGAGCAGAGCAATTAAACGATTGCTGCTTATGTTTTGTAGCTGTTTATTCTGTCTCCACCAGCCAATATTGGAGAAACTGTTTTCTCCTAAGTACCCCATGACTCTCACCTGATGATACAGTGTGGCACTGTGAGTTTTATATACACCGGACATTCCTTTCCCTCCACATAAAAGAATTCATTTCTCAAAGTACCTTAGATCTTATTCCCTCAGTGTTAAGAATCTAGCTCAAACACACCCAAGTCAGAAAAGTTGGATTTTAAGGTGAAAGACCTTCTTTGAGGTTTCTTGCAGCTGTTAAAAGGGACACTGTTCAGTGCATGCCTAGGGGCTATTCTTGCTTTAGATTATTTGTGCTAAAATTCCTCAGGAAATCTTTGTTGATACAAGCTAGTGAGAATGCAGAACAAACTGCCTTGCTAAATGAAATGTCACAGTCTTGTCTTGCAGAGGATCCTCTGCGTATCTCTTTCAACCCTGCTCCTCTCCATTAAGGATTCCCACTATGGTTAATATTCCTTTAGACAGGATGTTTCAGTGCTCTCTCTCCAGATCTTAAAAGGTTTCGTCTGGAATACCAGGCAAAAGCTGGCTTTTGTGGTTAAAGCAGAGGATAGAGAGAGGGAAGATCTGTCTCTAGGAGTATGTCTACACAGCAAAGTTATTTTGAAATAACAGCCATTATTTTGAAATAACTATCCTAGCGTCTACACAGCCATTCTATTATTTCAAATTAAATCAAAATAGCAGAGGGCTTATTTTGAATTTGGTAAACCTCATTCCATGAGGAATAATGCCAATTTTGAAATTGCTATTTCGAAATAAGTGCTGGGTGTCCTGGCGGCCACTCTGGCCTCAACCAAGAACACTCCTCTCCCTCCCTCCCCCCCAGAGCCCTTAAAGGAGCTGACTCTGGCCACAGTGCCTGTGCCAGCTACAAGCCTGATAGCCCAGAGCCAGCAGTCACTGCCCCTGACTCAGTGGTCCCAAAACAAGAGCCAGCAAACCACTGACAGCCAGCCCTCCACCGCTCCCCAGGAGCAGTCTGCCAGCTCCCAGGAGCCTGCCAGGGCCTGGAGAAGGCGGGCGCCTTCCTGGTCCGGGGTGGAGATTATGGACCTTATTCAGGTTTGGGGAAGATGCCCCCAACATCCATGATCTCCGCACTAGATGGAGGAATGTGGCTGAATGTGATAGATGCCAGCCTGGCCACCAAAGGCCACATGCAAACCCAGGAGCAGGTTCGCATGAAAATCAAGTTGGTCTGGCGAGACCCCCAACCCTGAGCCCTGAGCTTCCCCTCCCCCTTCTTTCCCTTGCTTCCCCCTTCCAGCTCTCTCCTCCCAGGTTTCCTCCTCCCCTCTCCCATCTTCTCTCCTCTCCCGCCTCCTTTCCCCAGTCTCACCAGAGTTTCATTTCCCCCCCCCCCCCCCCCTTTTTTTTAGGGTAGAAGCTCTCCCGCAGGGCCTCCTGGATACTAACAGCCCCCTGATGGACCTCCTGGATGGCAGCCTGCAGAAAGTGCAGCCAGGCTTGCAGCAATGCATCCACGAGAAGCACCAGAGTGCCCAGGGGCAGCTTTGGCTCCATGTTGCAGAGTACTGTGGTGTCCCGAGTGAGGGCAACCAAAGCACGCAGAGACAAAATACTTTGCTGTCCCTCATCAAGGCAGGCAAGCAAAGGGGGAAAGCTGAGAACCGGCTGTCCGGGAGGGGAGGGGGGGGTCCCTTTAAGCACAGGCCTCAGATAGCCTCAGGCAGCAGCCACACAAAGCAACTCCTGACCTGATGCCCTGTTGGACCTGGTTCCGGCCGGCCTTAAATGTGATTCAGCTTCCACTCAGTGTGGATGCGCTATTTCGAAAGAGCAAAACACGATTTCGAAATGCATTTTGTGTGTAGACGCGTTATTTCGAAAAAAGCTATTTCGAAATAACTATTTCAAAATAAGATATTTTAAAATAACGCTGTAGTGTAGACATACCCTAGCTCTGCTCCAGACTTCTGTGAGAGTAAAATAATTAGCATCACCATGCCTGCATTTCTCTCTGGAAATTGGGTGTAAAACAATGAGCAATGTAAAGCATTCATTCCCTACTCCATGCTCTATAGTAGGCCCAGTCTTTCTTGCAGAAAAGGAAGTGAGAAACCAGGGTGAGAATTCAAGTCTCCTGTAAAGAAATGTAGAAAAGTATCCTTGCTTGGATATGGCCCACCATGCATGGTTTGAAAGACCAGCTTTTCCAGTGCAGATAGTAGTTCTACTTAGGGTTGCCAGATGGTTTCAACAAAGATACTGGATACACTTGACATTACATCATATTTAGAAAATACTTTATATTCATATTTTATATACATTTATATTTTCTCATTTATATTTTCTCAATTTGTTTCCTGAACAGAAAGCTCAAATATTGGACTGTCCAGTTCAAAACCGGACACCTGGCAACTCTAGTTCTACTGTGAATTACAGAACAATAGATGCCTGGGTTTTAAAAGTGATGACTAATATCTTTCTCCTCCCCAGTATCTGTGACTCTTTGACTACAGTAACTGCAAGGATTCCCTTTGACAGGCTCTCAGCAAAAGTTCCTGCTTACGTGGGCTTTAGAACAGAGGTTCTTGAGCTTTCCTGAAATCTGGTCCCTTATTCAGTGATCATAAAGATACTCCCAGCATCCTTTGTGCTAGTTGTTATGTCAGTCTAAGAAATGATTGGGGGAATCACTGTAGTGGTTTATGAGACAGTCCTGCTGGTCTAGCAGATCAATTTATCATGGCAGTGCAGAGTCAATGGAATCCCTCCAAATGTATAGGAGGGTAGTGGAGAGTAGCATCTGGCTTTTGGTGGCTGTGGAAGGCCATTTGAAAATGACTAAACAGACTGCCTTCAGCAGAAGATGAAAGAGAGGGTTGGGATCAGACTCAGATTATCCCTAGATAATTGCTAGTGACCTCCTTCAAGGTCATAACCTGCAGACTGAGAACCACTGTTTTGGCAGCAGTCTAAATCTGTACTTTTCATTTTAAATTATGGTTGGACTGTGTTGCTTCTCATATATTGCTTTTTAAATTTTGTTGCAGTACTCTCGGATGTCCAGTATATGTAAACGGTACCCCTTTTTGAAGAGTCACTCTACTATGCCCTTACACTGCCAGGTCACATGGTCAGCCTTCATGATTTTCCAAAGCCCTCGTTATCATTTAGCAATGCATACAAGAATTGGAGGCATGGATGACTGTCACGGATCCTCCTCCCCCCCCGCCCAAGCTCGTGTGGGAATGGGTCCTCACGTTTACTGCACGGAGGCCCCACTCCCTAGCTTTGCTCTAGGCTTGCACTCTGAGGGGGGTTGGGTCTTGGTCTACACCAACTTATTTGGGAGAGACCAACCTACCGCCCAGCAAGCCGCCAGTTTCCCCACAGTTGGGGGAGAGTCCCCGTAGTCTGGGGAGGGGAGGACCCGGCGCCCGTCGTGGGGTTATTCACGGCCCCTCCGGGTCTGTCGGAAGTGTCGCTCAAGGGGGTGGCGTCTTGGGCCGTCTCTCCTTTGAGTCCAGTGCACGTCCTGGGGTCCAGACCACTCTTCCCCTGGCGTCTCAGTCCCTCGCCCTCGGGGAGTCCCTGTAGTCTGGGGAGGGGAGGACCCGGTGCCCGTTGTGGGGTTACTCACAGCCCCTCCAGATCTGTCGGAAGTGTCGCTCAAGGGGGTGGCGTCTTGGGCCGTCTCTCCTTTGAGTCCAGTGCACGTCCTGGGGTCCAGACCACTCTTCCCCTGGCGTCTCAGTCCTTCGCCATCCGGCGACCTCCCTGGCCACCTCTGCCGACTCAGCACCTCTGGCCACCCAGCTGCGGCACCTCCAGCCAGCCTCTGCCTGCTCGGCGTCTCCTGCCACTTGCTCCGCCGCCCGGTGTCCGCGGCTGGCTGCGGGGATGCTTGCGCCCTCT